ATATATATATATATATATATATATATATATATATATATATATATATATATATATATCTCAATCAATGAAAATATCTCATCACCATGGACTTTTCTTGGCAATCCTGAATCAGAAATAATCTATCTGTCAGAAAGGATATGCACTGAGTGATTGATTGTCTATATTATTGATTGTCTACATCCATCAGCAAGTTCAACATGGGATAAGTTTTTTCGATTGATCTTATTAGTTTAGTACTTGCATATACTTTACATTATGAGAAAATAAACATATCACATCTATAATTAACTGTTATTGTTCTCTCTAATTATATTCGTGATTTTAATCAAATAGTTATGCTATTATTCGATTGATTGATAAAGATTTTTTAGATATTTCTGCTTTTTGCTCAGACGAGAACAAGTGTCTTTGTTCATTGTGCGAGATGGAAACAGGTTATACATAGAGAGGATTATTATTGTATAGAGAATTAAAATAACAAAAAAAATATCACGGACAGAGGTAAAATAGAAGGTATGTGCAAATAACTTTTCGTGTCAAAGAGTCTCATATAATTACTATAATTAAAACAATATAACACTTGCAAAAGAATCTTACTTTTGACGCTAACTTGTCCTGTTCGTCGGCATATTGTCCCCAGTCGACCTTAGTCGAAGTCATACTTGCCGTTTGTTAAAATTTGCGATGAGAAAGTTTTAGATCGAATAATTGTCGAGCTGCAAGTCAACAACTGACAATTATTGCTATGATCGGCAGGATTGGCGGCCGGCCCCAGTTTAATTTCAAGTTCACACACAGCGATATATAAACAATTCGACAGATACACGTTATTACTCTTTCTTATTCTCTGATGTTTCACGCTATCCCGAGACAAACTTTTTCGTTGTGTAAAGGCCTTTGTAGGGGTGGGACCCGATTGACCACGGTACGATTGGACACAGATTGTAATGATTGGTTCGACTTGGTAATTCACTAGATAATTCTTTGCATCGATTGGTTGTGTCCAATTGTACCGTGGTCAATCGGGACGCTCCCCCTTTGCAGAATGCCAGGCAACAGGCAACAGGAATAGGGAATAGGAATTCGGATTGGTCAATTATTTCTATTCTCTGTTCCTATTGGCTAATGCCTATTTCTATTGCCTGTAGCTTGGCATTGTGCATAGGGCTTTAAGCTAGCGGCACCAATGGCCGGTATTCATAGTATACGTAACATAAACTATAGATTTTCAGTACCGGCAGTGAATTTCGGAACGCAGCTATAGTCGGGTCTTACATTTAAGACTGTCTTAGGCTGCGTTCCGAAATTCACTTCCAGTACTGAAAATCTATAGTTCATGTCACATATACTATAGAATTTCAGTACTGGCAGTGAATTTCGAAACGCAGCCTTAATAGCGTGTTCGACTGGCCTTGGGTTAATCGCTCCGAGAGCGATTAATGACGTCATAAGTTTTTACTAGCCAATCATAAAGCTTATAAGTACTTGTTCGACCAATAAACGTAGGCTGAATAACCCAGAATGGGTTAACCCAGAGCCAGTCGAACATGCTATTAGACGCGAAAATCAAGCTGCTGACGTTTGGTTTAGCGAATAAATATAATATATATAAATGTTTGCAAACAGATACAAAAGTTATTGCAAGAACAATCAGTTCGGCCAAGTCAGTGCCATGATTATTCAATTTGGATTTCTTTCGCAGAAATCTACAATGAAAATATATACGATTATAAAATGTACACGGAGTTGGAAAGTATTAACTGAGAGTTTTAATGGACGTTACGAGTAAGTATTAATGGACGTCACGAAGATGGCAAATTCTTTGCGGGAGAAATGATATCCCAATTGTTGACTAAGGACGAACAGTTAATAAACCTCAGAAAACTTATTCAACACGCACTTGGAGCAGCGCATTCAAGCAAGCGAACATTGGCGTGCTGGTTAAATTTCTTGAGATTTATTAATTATTCGTCCTTAGTTAGCAATTGGGATGTCATTCCCCCGCAAAGAATTTGCCATCTTTATGGCGTCGATTTGTTCCCAGTTAATACTTTCCAACTCCGTATAACATTTTACAATCATATACATTTTTATTGTAGATTTCTGTGAACAAAATCCACATTTAATCCGGGCGTTTTACAGCCGGACAAGTCCAGGTCGGAAATGTATTTGGCAGAAAAGAAGGAAGAATAAGACTGTGTAAGGCTCAGTTCCACAACCTCCATTTAACTTTAGCTACCGATTAAGTCTCAACAGTGATTGGTTGATTCTGATTAACTCTTTTTAACGCTAAATGTGATTAGTCAAGTCCAATGGAATAACCGGTCAGTTAACTAGAAGTTGTGAAACTGGACCTAAGAGTCGGAACTTTCTTAGTCGGGCCTAAGAACAGTATAATATAGGAAGCCGGAATGTTGCTGGGCCAGGATTCGAGAATTCGAGACTTTTCGCTTGCCGGGCGACTGCTCTTATGGTTTCTGCACACAAGACGCGGCAAGCATTACCGCGTCCTATGTGCAGGAGCCATTAGGGTGGAGTCCCATGGTACGTATTTTCGCGTAACCACGTAACCAATCATATCTTTCTATTCTTTTAGAAGTTCCAATAGAAATACTATACGTCGCAATTTATTGGTTACGCGCTTACGCGGTACGCTGAAAATACATGCCATGGGACTCCACCCTTACCATTGAGCCACACAGGCTCCCGCTCCAATACACTCTCGTCTTTTTATTAAATGTTATTGTTTGTCAATATGGCGCGTGTTACCTCTCAATTCGCTTTCATATCCTACAACTGAAAAGTTCTTAAAAATAATAGCATTTTTGTAAGTAAATTTAAGAATTTGATATTAAAATTAATAATGTGAAGAATATTAGGATTATTAGTTATAAATCAGTTATAATATTTCATATTATGAAATCTAAGACTTAAAAGGAGATGAAAAATTAACGATTTATTGCAAATATTTACATCGTTTACTTTTTTGTAGCTTGATCTTTGAAAATGTCTTGACTTTTAAAATATTAAAGATACGGAATTTTACATATAACAATTGCAAATTTTATCCCAGAATGTTTGTTACAGGTAACGTACACACAAGAATGGTCTTGTTTACAACAAAATCCATATAGTACAAATATCTAAAATGCAACCCAGAAACGTCCTAAAGATGTCTGATATCTCTGAGACATCTTTAGGATGTATTTTGTACATTGTACTGTATGAGAGATGAACTCGAAATTTTTAATTCAATATTAACCGAACACCATATACGTATCAAGTACAAGGTAATTTATAATTTCGATATATTTTACATTAATTAAAAAAAAAAAAAAAAAAATTAGGAAAACAAAGAATGCCTAATAATGGCATTCGTTTTCAATAGTATCCATTTTTACACGCATAAGAATTTTTTTCCAAATTATTTTTCATAGTCAAATACTTTTAATTTGCAAGAGCACTTTGTAAGTAAATTTAACAAAATAGATTGTATGAATTCAATTATTAAATGAGTAATTGAACAGGTGCTATAATGAACTCACAAACAGATTTAATATAAAAATGCTATTTATACTATAAATATTCATTTATGCATGATAAAATTATCATCTGACTAAATTATACATATTATTATTTGTGTTATATCAACTGAAAATTTGTGTTGAGTTTTTCCTTATAAATTGTGAAATATATATTTCCTCATTTGGATGAAATTTGCCTAAGTTAGTTTGGATTGCTTTTCAACATAGCTGCCTGATACAACGATAAATGCATTGTACTTATATTTTTAAAAAGTGCTCTTCTCATAAATATTTCTATAAAAATCCCTGTACGATCATCATCTAAACTCGCATATTGTTGCTGCTGGCTACTTTATTTCGTACGGACATTATACATCATTTTATACGAAATATACAATTTCTCATTATGTACAAAGGAATTCACTAAGAATATTCTAGTCCGTCAATGTAGTTAAAAAAAAATTTACCATTTTTTCGTGAAGCAAATTCTTTCCTAAAATTTACAAATCTCTGTAGTGCATCGGGAACAAGTTCAGTGAGTGTTTACGTAGTATAAAATATAGATGTGTATTCTATCCCTATTAGACAGCTCCAACGAGTCGCAACTGTTGAAACGAGAGAAAAAGAAGAAAAGAGGTGTGGTCTAACACTATTGTTTCCTCGCGAAGCCGCGCGTACAACGTTGAATTAATGTTTATAAGAGGGTACAATAATTCCAAAGCTATTATTATCTCGAGGATTTTTCTCTATTTAAGATTTCTTTACGATCGCCGTTACCACCTTACTGCCGGCCGTTTGTGGCACGAGACGCACGGTTATCAGCGATAGATCAAGCATTTTACGCTGGTATTTCTTGTGAAACACCATGGCAGCGGATTGTGTCTTAAACACAATCGTGGCATTACCCTCGCCCATACGTATGCTCTATAACACGAAGAATAGAGAACACAATTATTACAAGTTGTTAAACAAATATTGTTTATTTAATGTAAGCGTAAATCTACCAAAAATAAAAGAGGAGACTTAATATCGAAACGAACATAACAACAAATATGTGCGTGTTGTATGTTGGTGCGGTCGTCGTAAATATGTTTAGCATCGTTTTGACTATTGTATCTTTGAGAAGAACAAAGTAAAGTATCAAAATAAAGCCGCTAAAAATATCAATTTAATAGTCTTGACGAATCTTCTCGAGAAGATCTGGCTACTCTTTGTATGTTTGCTTTGCTTCATTAAATTTTCACAACTGTTTACATTTTCCACTGAAAAGTAATAATACTGGCGCAATTACATAAACTAGAAATATACAGATCATTTATGTAAATCTCTTTGGTATCAAATGCATGCTTGAATATAGCGTAATAGAATATAACATATAATGATACTGTCCATGGTATAAAAATCCATAGTATATTTGGCTTTTTGACAAATTTGTATATCTCTTATGTATGCCAGAATATACACAGATTCTCATGTATCGAGATATAACAATTTGTAACTAATCTAAAACTATAAAACTATAAAAAAAAAGATATATATATGTATATATATATATATATATATATATATATATATATATCGTCTCCTTACAACTTAAATACTTAAGTACTTAGTTAAGTACCAATCATTTCTGATCACATGGATACTTCCATAACAGACAAATAAATTATAAAATCAATTATATTAATACTCTAATAATTTGATTATTATTTATATAATATATGAATTATTGATATAATAACACGCGAAGTAAAAATTTGATATCGTAGAACCATCGGTAACATATACTTATCTCTAATCGTAATATATTTGTATTTGGAATGATACAACTCATAAAAGACACAATTATCGAGCAATGATGTGACTCGTAAGATTAGGAATAAGAAACCGAATAATCAATCGAACGCGCTAATATGTCCCTAATAACCGCTTGCAATTACAAACGGGAGGAATAATATACATGTGTTTTTTTTTTTTCGACATCTTAACACATATTTGTTTGTATTCAAAGAAAAAGTGGTATTTGTGTAAACAAAAATTATATATCACAAAATAATCAAAATCTAAAATAATCCAATTATATATATTAAATGCATGCAACAAACGAATTGTCCTATTTTGGAATACGTAAAATGAAATAAAACGCTTTCAATAAGTTTGTGTATGTATGTATGTATGTATGTATATGCGTGGGTGTATATGTGTGTGTGTGTATGAAGTATGTGACGTTAAAAGATAGGTTTGTTAATGGAGGACGAGCGTGCCAAATGATGAAGCGTTTTCAGGTAAATATAGTCACCTCAATGGTTCCAATCCCTTGACACATACGTCTAATTTGTGCCTCGGACGTGCTCGCGGCCAAATTCTCGAGACTGACCGTGTTGCTCCTGATCTCGGGCAATTTTCTCGATGGGACCGTGTTGGTCTTTTGCAACACGATTCGCTGAGAGTTGGGCGTGTTGACGTTTCTCTGAAGGGGACCGCCACTAGTCCCATCAACGTTGACAACGGTCTTTTGCAGGCCACTTAGCGCTTTGTGCGCTACCATTCTCGGACCAACATTCATCTGACCGACTCTTTGTCCAACAACTAACGCCGATTTTTGTAACGTGTTTCCTGAATTCTGTACAATTTTCTGTACTTGCATGATCTGCGTGTTAGGCATTTTTTGCTGTAATCCTTGATTACGTTGCAGATTGGAGACTGTCTTCTGTATGGTGGTGGCGATCTTTTTCGAATTGAGTAACGGCTTGTGTATCACGACTCTTCGTGTGCCGGGCTGTTGTGTCATTTGCCTAGTTTGTACATCGCCGGCTTCGTCGAGCGCGTTCTCGGGGTTATCGTCTTTCGCACCGACAGTGTCGTTTCGCGTCATCAGATCGTTGGTCTGAACAGTAGTCTGTATCGCTCTAACGATTCGCATAAGTGGTCTGTCTGTTGCCTACAACAAAAATATCAAACGTGCGTCATTTTAGAAGAGACTCACTATTATACACAGGACAATTCGGCCTTGATCGTTTTATCGTGATATCAGTGATATTGTAAAGCGAATTTTAATGATATAATATGTATTTCCTAAGTGAGTTTATTTTGACAAAGATTTGACTAATCTCGAATTCTCTCGAGATTTGTTAAAACGTGTTTCAGTCTGGAGGAAATGAAAAGAAACAAAATTTAGTGAAAAAGTATATTTTATTGAAACATAAGTGGAAAATATACAGCGAATTTTAATTGCACGTGTATAAATGAATTAATATTTTATTTAAAAGAGTGTATAAAACTATCATCAGCGATAAATGTCTAAAAATGGCATTTTCTCTTACTAATTAACGAACAGGAGCTGCTGTGTTACACCACAATTATTAAGAGCAAGTAAAAGAAACAGAGAGAAATTCGATCAGTGCAGATATTCTGTACTCAATTTTAACATGCACATTGATGTATTTATACAAAGTTTACCACGTAATACTTTGTACAGCTATGGGAAGCATATAAAATATATTAAAAAATACTATACACACACATCATAGAATCACATGTAATTTTGTTGTTCGATTTATCAACTGTATTTGATTTACAGATTGGATGCAGGTATTTGTCGCTATCCGTGAAATATATTTTATAAATACTGAAATGTAAGCGAGTTGTACAACACAATAGAACTTGCTATAATAATACGATTATCAAAATCGTAGTTCAGTATTGCGCAATTGCGCCCCAGTGAGAAATCAAGCGGAATCACGAAATATAGTGGTACGTTTAATATTATACCTCTGTGCTCTGTGAATTGACAGGACGACCGCGTCCTTTACTGACACCAGGTCGAGCTTTAACGTTGGTGATGCCGTCCTTTATAACTCCCATCAGCGTTGACACAGGCTTCGTATCTTGCTGTACGATTTCGTTTGCTGAAATATTCCGAAAATATCATTCAATACAAGTGTACAGAAAAATCTATCAAGATATAACACATAGTAGTATATAGAATATATAAAAGAATGTATAAAAAAATGTATAAAAGAATATATAAAAGAATGTATAAAAATATATAGAATTACGTACCTACGACATTTGAATCAATCTTCTCGTCTTCATTTTGTTTCTCCATCGCGGCCATTTTGCGCCTGTTCTCCTTCTCACGTAACAGCTTCTCCCGAAGACGTTTTTGTTCTTCCATTTTTTTCCGATACTCCTGCATCTCCGGATCATTGTCTTCCTCCTGAGAGATCACAATTTCGCGATATGTACTTAGATTTTATCATATCATGAGTGGTATTATAAAGCTAATTGGAAAATCGACTCACCCTCTTCTCGGTGACTGTTTCGTCTATCGTATTCAATCTCCGTATCTCATGAAGATTTCTGTTTTCAGTCGGTTTACTGCGTTTCGGGCTCATTTCTCGCGGTGCTCTGTCTATCGACTCAGAGATCCTCTTTTGCGGCGGTCTGTTCGGCTCTCGATGTACTACGTTTATCGATCTAGAAGACTTCTGACTGTGATTGTGTTCATACGAGTCACCGCGATATGTATTCGTCGGTGATCTGCTGCGCTGCATATGATCGTTCCTTGGTCGTAGCGGCAAGTCTCTTTCCCGATAGTTTTGGGAAGGTCCTCTGTGATCCTGACAATGTGAAAAAATTCAATGAATAAGTCCGCAGTAAAGTAAACACAGTAACATTGGAATTCTTGAATTTTGTATTTACTTCTTGATAGTTACTCCTTTGATCCCATTGGCTATCCAATTTGTATTTATTACTATCGCTGTAATTATTATCCCGACAGTAATTGTCCGGAACATATTGCTTGGTCGGGCTTACATTTTGAGACTTTTGCGGCCTGTTCTCTTGCCAAACGTCGGAGAAATAAGCATAGGGGTCCTACAGTAAAATTTAATTGTATATTTCACTCCGCGTACAATATATTCTACGTTACGTACGTCGTTCTTGATTTGCTGATATTTTTGCTGGTATTGCGATGGACCTTGCGATGGACCTTGTGATGGATCCTGTGATGGACCTTGCGATCTACCTTGTTGAGATTGATTGTAGGGTTCCTGATTCTGATACGACGAAGGGAGTTTTTGCGGAAATTGTCCGCTGTGAGAGACTTGCGGCTGCACTTGTTGGTTAGTATCCCAAACGAGCCGAGCTATATGCAATTATCACAGAAGAAAAGATTATATTCACAAATAAGTATCAATGTTATGTGTAATTTTATATTGGGTTGAATCATAACTTCCGTTTTTCTCTCCCTTCATTTCTACCCAAAATATTTTCTAACGTAGTTTGTGATTATTATATATGTCTATATATTCGTCATTATTAATTCATCTTATAAACTAACAGATATCTAATCGATTCTTTCTGCGAGTGTTCAGGAGAAGTAAATGTTCCTCCTCATCGTCGGAAGTGATTTACTAGTCGACCCAATATGAGATATCCGCTAAAAGGACTCACCATCGTTCGTCGGTTGAACAGCACCTCTAAAGTGAGGATTGATTAGAATCTTGTGGCCTGGAGGTAAAGACACACTGTGTACATTAGACGCCGACTGTTGCGGTACAGGTGGTTGCATCGAATTATTAAATTGGTTATTGGGTACTTGATCGGGATAACCAGGTCTCCCGTTGTACGTATTCCGGCTGTCGAACTGCTGCGGCTCTTGGAACGGTAGTCTGTTCTCGTAAGGCGATTGCTGACTAGGCATTTGCGTGCTCGGCAGGTTTTGTTGTTGCATAGACGGCGGACCATGAGAGGGTGGTGGTGGCGGTGGTGGTGGTGGTGGGCCTTGTTGTCGCGGGAATCCCTGCTGCATAGGCAACGGGAGATTACCCGACGGTAATAGTGGCAACGGGTTTCCACCGGTCAACAGCATGCTCGGGTTTCCTAAAAGTGAACCTCCCGGATTCCCCTGCAACGGCGGTGGACCTTGATTACCCGGATGAATCGGTCGCATCTGGTTCTCTTGCATAAGACCACCTGGATTCTGAAACGGTTGCATCGGATGATACGGCGACTGATTCGGCGGACAATTGTAGCCCGGTCCCTGCATCGTTCCACCACCCATCATAGGACCACCGGCTGCTCTGGGCCCGTACTCGAGACGCGGGACGCCCATATTCGCGCGCGGTCCTACCGGACTCTGAAATTGTCCGGGATTGAAGGCCTGCGGCCTGTTCTCCACGAATTGCGTCGGAGCCTGCATAGGACCGTTCGGGCCGAACTGTGGGAAGGGCTGCTGCGGATTACCCTGCTGATACATTAGCTGCTGATTCGGTATGTTGTTCGGTACACCAAGGAGGCACAACGGTCTGGTTTCCAATAGCGGTGGTCTACACGCAGGCGGCGGGTTATCAAAACCTGACCGCGACCCGTTACCAAACCTGCAGGAGTGTTCCGCGTGAGATATTATAACCAGTTGAGAGTGTAAAAGATGAGGCATAGAATATATAAAAGCCGCAACGAAACACTAAAGTACGTAACGGTTTGTGCTTTTCTTAAAGAATTCACGCGTGTTTTGAAAGAAGGAAATAACTTATTGTCACGTCAGCAGAATGCTCATCCACCTGTTCACCCATTTTATATTTCAGTGATTGAGATTGCACTTCTTTATAAACTCGTAATTGTTTATCAGTAATGAAAGGCCGTTGTTATTGACGAGATTATATGTTACCTTGGATTGAAGTTTCCAGTATTTGGCACATTAAATCTTCCTCCCCTGCTGCCTCTTGCGATGCGTCCTCCTCTTCCGCGTCCTCTGAACGGCGCTCTGGCTGATGGTTCCGACGTGACGACGTTTTCCAGCGTGTCCGGGATAGCATTGTTCATCTTCGGCGAGATCATCGTACGCTCGTTTTGAAATCTGTTCCGCCTCTCCTTCGCTTCTTCACAGTCGTCATCCTCCAATCCTTGCCCGTTGCCAACGTAGACCTTCTGCATGTTTTTCTGCAGCTTCTCGCGCAGATCACCGACATTGTTCGACACGTTGATGCTATTGCAGTCCGAATTTCTGTCGGACTGGCGTGCCTGCTCGTTCGCGTACTCAACATTCTCGTCTCGCTTGTAATAAGTGGTCTGTGCTTCCGAATGCTCTTCATCCTTATAGAAATCGTTATCGCTACGTTTATCAGTATTGCCTCTACTAAACTCTATATTTTCATCTTCGCCGTCTAAGTCGTCGAGCGCGTCCGTGACTCCTAAGTCCAGTACATCATCTGTTTCCTCTTCTCCCTTATAGCTATTCTGCTGCTCGGGGAATTAAATCGTCAAATATTTGTAATGTAAGCGATATTTATCCAGTGTAGTAATCTACGTCATATATCATAATCTACATATCGTTAACTAATGTATATATACTAAAATATGTATATGTATATGTGTGTGTGTGTGTGTGTGTGTGTGTGTGTGTGTGTGTGTGTGCGTGTGTGCATGTGTGTATATATATGTGTATGGTAAACGGAACATCTTCTATCTTGTCCACTTGTGAGAACTCAAATCGTTATTATTGGCACGTGTAGAGTCGCATAGGAACGCATGAGTCCAAGTTTGCGGTGTGCGTGGGCGCGCGAGCGCGTGCGTGTGCGATCCTGACGGCGCGTGAGAAACGTTACTTTCGCCTAGATTCCCAGAGACCCTGTTTCTTTCTTTTATCCGCTCGGTCTCGGTGTAATGAGGAGGAAACATGCTCTTATTTCTAACGGCAATAAAAACGAAACATAAGCCTTATAAACAAATGTGAATGATGAAGTTTGCGATGAAACCGAGTATACAATAGCGGAAAGATGCGAACGTGTGCGACATGGTAATTCTTCGCCGATACGCAACACAAATGTAATAATATCAATATGGTATTTTCGATAGGCATTCGATCAAAATATTTGTACTTCACAAGTGATGACTTGCATGTGTCGAACTATCAGCGCAGTATGATATAATTCAGTCTTCATTTGAGTTCGATGTATGCATGCAATTATGCAACAAAATTCATGTGCGAGAACGTTCATTAAAATATATTTATTTTTATATTTCGCCGAACAAAATTTACAATGCGTTTGTGCCGAAATTATAACATAAATTTTGATTAATAATAATATAGCTTTTTATTTTCTAGCGGAAACATTTGATTCTTAAATATGTAGATTATATGTATTATAATGTTAAAATTTAACGTTGCTTCATTGCATAATAGGAAAAAATTAAAAATTCGCAAATTGCAACTTAATTTATTGTGATGAAAAGTCATAATATCTTATTGCGTTAATGTAATTGAATTATTTCTTACTGCAGCTGTTCATTTGATGCATTAGCTTAATACTAAAGATCGCGATATACAATTTCGCATTAAAATCTCAATGTAATGGTTTTCCACAATAATTATATTGTTGCAAATCGAAATGACAAGATCCATAATATCGGGATTTATACATAAATATGGTTTAATGTAAGAACGCACACATATTATAAAATGCATAAATATTCTCCTACATAATACATAAATCTTTTTTATACACATAAAAATTTCGAGTTACATATAGACCCATTTTTTTTCTTATTTTTCAAAATGTAATGTACAAGAATAATTATTTTTTTGCTTGTAATATAAGAACAATGAAAAATTTATCAATGAGAATAATCTTTGGGTTATAAAGTATTGAGATTTTGTATAAACAAAAAGACACTAAGAGATAAAGTTGGTAATAATTTATATACATATATCTTATATTAACGATCTCACATTAAACCATTCGATAGTGAATTATCTTTTGGCGAACGAAATAGGGTACAATCATAAAAGTTTACACTGGCAATTAGCAGTTTATCAAATTACGTATAGCACTAATTGTCATTTGAAATGTGTGATACGAACTTATATATATAATGAGAGAACATAGTTGAGCAGATGAACAAGTCCCTCATTATTGATACCGCTTGAAATGTTGAAGTCTTAATTTATAAAAATTACAGTCGCATTTACGCAGTAGGTTAAAACAAATATATGTAGCGCTGACACTATCGCCATTAAATAGTGCAATGTTTTCAAAAAGATATACATGATCAGAAACTTTCTAAAACAATCATAAATATCCAAATTGTTGGATACATCAAAAGTTATATATTATTATTCTTACTTGAATTATCATATATTCTTGCTTGAAGGACGAAAAAATATAGAAATTAGAATAAAATATATTAATAATCATAATTTTGCTATATCTAATTTGTAAGTGTCAATATTGTTATAATTTTATACTAAAGTTAGAATTCTTGATAATTTACTAGCAGCTACATATGTTTCTTTAACCTGTGCAATTTCATAGTTGTTTTCACTAACACAAATCACATGCTTATGCCTACATGTTTTTCTATACTGCAGCATCAGCTTTCACAAACATTTGCATTTGAACAAAAGTATTCATTATGTTTAAATAATTGTACCATCTATAAAAGATTGGTTTAGATTTTCTTTCTGTGAGTACTTTTGCATTTAAGATGTCTATGTATTAATGATATATCTACTACAATAAATATTGTGTATTACATGATGTGTTAACATACTGTGTTAACACATGTAATTTAACAGTTACATCATATGTTTGAAATTTGAAGTATTCAAGAGAAGAATACATGAACCATATATTCTATTGTTTGGTACAGTCAGTAATTAATAAACTACCACCTGTGTCATACTTTTGACCATTTTGATTTATCCATGAAACTTTCATGTATAAGAACATCATATACAGAACACATCACAATATTTCACACATTTGAATATTTCTTTGTCTAACGTAACACTACAAATCACTTGTTGAGAATGAAAATATTTTCTTGGCTCTACTATTGGTTTGATTATTAAACATTATCACACAACTATATGTATATATAAATTATTTCTTATGAAAATTAGGTCAACAAGTGCAATGGATGAAAACTGAAATTTCAAAACGGATTAATTTTGAGATAAGAGGTCAATTATTCTACCGGAACGCGATTGAAATTGGCCGAATAGAGGTGTAGGATTTCATCCAACTGAAAAGTAATGGGCAAACAATATGCTCACCCTCTCTATCTCATAGTCATCAGCTAAAAGGGCTTCTTCCTCATCATTGCCCAAATCGTATTCCTCGTCCCCCTCGAGATCTTCATCCAGTAATGTATCATCACTAAAAAGATAAACGGGAAGATTTGCTAAACGTGCCATATCAACAAAGATTACCCATCCTACCGCGTCACTGACGCGGAGACAGAGACGCTCTCGCCCGTAACAACCTACGTCATTGCCAAGTCAGTAGTCTTCGCGTTTCTAACCTGCGCGTTTTGAGCGAGAGCGCGATTGTAGTGTCCCGAAACGAACATAATGCTATGTTAATCCTAATAAGAAGTCGCACGAATGAAATTTTGACATCGTACCTTTTCATGGTAGCAAGAAATAGGAATACTTACTGCTCTGACATGATATACGTTGCCGCACTCCGAGCCAGAAGAATTTTACGATGGCTCCTCTGCAATCGCAATGGAGGCTTTATCGAAAATGCGCACACTCAAGATCGATTGATTGATATTGATATCGATCGATATCGATAGTGATCGAACATATTTCGATTCCGAAGTTCTCGATTTTGAAAATTTACAATTGCGAAAGAGAAATTGGCATACCGTATAGCGTTTATCATATATCATCCAACATATTTGTTAAATAAGACTGAGTTCCCACTTAGCGCATCACGCGTCGCGTCGTCCGTCGCGGACCAATCAAATCGTCCTATTTTATTGCCTAACTTTACGACGAATAAAATGGGACGATTTGATTGGTCCGCGAAGGACGACGTGACGCGTGACACGCTAAGTGGGAACTCATCCTAAGGGCGCATCCCGTAACAGCATACTTTTTTAACATTTTGTTAATATATATTTATATATACCAAAAAATGTTATATATTTTTATATATTTCACAAATATTACTTATATTAACGCAGCTGACAAATGCAGGTGCAGCGTGGTGTACAAAGTGTTATTTATACATTCAGTATATAGGCGGAAGATATAAAACTTCTGCCCTAAGATCATTCATTTTTATCATTGGGGTACTATGTTCGACGCCTATGGCTGAATTTAATACATGGGTTTTAGGTACACGCACAGCTCACAGTATATAAGAGAGCTAGCAGTTTATGATATAATATATATGTTTATGGAGAACACAGAGGAGCTGTATCTTTGACTACATCGGTTGCTTTTCAACAAGAGACACAAGTCGACACAAACATCATTCTATCTTTGTTCCACATTTAGTGAGTAACAAAGATAGAATGATACGTGTCGACTTGTGTCTTTTGTTGGAAAATAACCATAGATTGTTTTTCAACAAGAGACACAAGTCGACACAAGTATTATCCTATCTTTGTTACTCACTAAGGGTGCTATTTTATGTGTCGTACGACAGGGTGTATATCAGTTGGACACGGGGCAATTGGACACAGTCCAATCACAAGTCGCTGTTCCAAGGGACCCTACAAATGTCTCTAATCACACGGTGCTGTGATTGGCTGTGTCCAAATGCACCGTGTCCAAGTGCACCGCTCCCGTACGACAAGCTTTTCAGATACGTTTATTGGTTAGCGAATAGAGTATTTCTAGGTTCTCTGTTCGTCAACCAATGAACGTATCCAAAAAGCTTGTCGTACGACACGTGAAATATCAGCCTAAATGTGGAACAAAGATAGAATGATGTTTGTGTCGACTTGTGTCTTTTGTTGGAAAGCAACCATAATAGCGTGTTCGACTAGCCCTGGGTTAATCGCTCCGAGAGTGATTAATGACATCATAAGTCTCTACTAGCCAATCATAAAGCTTATAAGTAATTGTTCGATCAATAAACGTAGACTGAATAAAGCCAGCAGCACACGGTGCTTGTTTTCGTGCTGGATTGCTTGCTGGATGGAAATACTCTGTTTTGATTGGTGCATCTCCATCTATCTTCAGAAATGCACCAATCAGAACAGAGTATTTTCATCCAGCAAGCAATCCAGCATGAAAACAAGCACCGTATGCCTTTGGCTTAACCCAGAGTGGGTTAACCCAGAGCCAGTCGAACATGCTATACGTGTGTGTATTCCTCACTTTAAAATAACTTTTCATGGACTTTAAATAAAATATATATGTGTTGAAAAGTTTACAATTATAATGTTGTTTTTAATCATAATTAGAATGCTGCTTTTAATTTTAAAGTGTCTGCTTTTTACCCTATAATTGCATTCATTTTCTTTTCTTCCTGCTTCACTAAAATGTTACAATTAATTATAGATATGGCTAATTGTAATTGTAGATAATATTAATTAATTGGCTAATATTAATTGTAGATATAGCTTTTGCAACAACTTTATTAAATGTTGCACGTCAAAAATGCACGAGCACTGTTGCATGTTTTAGTGAGAATCTTATTAATATTATTTATGATTACGGTTCTGTTTATACATCAATTGTTTAATATGTATATAAAACAATATGTTCGCAGAAAATTGGCTTGGTTATTATGTCGCTTTTTTTTTAATTTCGGTTACTAAGCAACTGTAGCGCAGCGCTACTGCTATTTATGTCTACGTTTACACGGCAAGGTTAATTCGGTTTAGTAACTACCATAGTTAGTAAACTATTAAATCCGATTGGTATATTCTTTTAGATCTAGAAATATGCTCCAATTGAATTCAAGAAATCACTAACTACGGTAGTTACTAAACCCGATTAACATCGTCGTGTAAACGTAGCCAATGGAGCTCACTATCGCTATCGCGCTACTGACTTCGTAAATGCTGCGTTCGATAACGTCACTCGAGTACTCTCCCTCTCTTTTTATCTCACTTTTGTATTTCGCTCACTCCAACGGTTATCGTCTAGTAGTGTGCACACAGTGTGTGTTTTCGAACGCAGCCTAGATGTCGCCGTAGATGGCGTTGGGCCTAGAGTCTGGAGCTAAGAGAACAGAATGGAATGGAATATTTTTGTTGTTAGAATGGTGTTGGGAAAAAATCGTAGAATTATCTGGAACCAATAGTCCCGGCCTAACCGCCGTCACGACAAGACATGTTCGAACAAGTTCGGACCTTGTGATTTTTTTGGATCGTGTCTTGAAAATTTCCAAGACTTTGCTCTCGAATTATATCATTAATCGGAAACTGGCGTTGGGGCATTACTCTTAGAGAGGCCTGTAGCCAAATATTGAAGGAAGGAAGGAAGGATCTGGAACCAATATTGAGAGAGAGAGAGAGGGAAAATATTTTTGTTTATAACCTATTAGTGTTGCGTCTATAACCTGTATAATCACATAAAATTGCGTATCTTTCGATACACAATGGTCAAGTGTGCGTATTTGTTGTCTTATAAAGCTTCGTTAAAGTTTTGTCAGCCGAATTGTTTGAATTTTCTACATTCCGCATGTAGTCAAACAGTGAACACGTTGCGAAGATATACAGACAGCAGACCGGCTATTATTTTAGGAATCGAAACGAGCTGTGATGATACCGGATGTGGAATTGTAGACACTACGGGAAAAATATTAGGCGAGGCAATAAACTCGCAGCATGTCACTCACTTAAAGTAATTGTCGTATCTTTCAATTCACTTACTTTGGAAACTAAGTATCTCAGTTATATAGCAAAGGTTAAGAGCCTCCGCACAAGAATATCGGTAATATGTTAAGTTTATGGATTTCTTTGTGCGTTGACCAGAGTTTAATTTTACGTACAGGTATGGCTATTGCATTGTCAGTACTTATCGTAACGTAAAGTAAAAATGTCGTTCGTTAATCATAATAAAGTTATGATGCGGTAAAAGATGACAGGTTCGAAGTTATACAATTTGTCATTGACTGTGTATAGGTATATGAGCATTCTTTCATATTCTTTTTCTGTGCATCTAATTACATAATATTATTAAGTTTCAACCAAATTGGTGAGGAGGACGGGTCTCTCAGTTTTATCCTATTGTTAAATATATTTGTATTTTATTTGCACCTTAAACAGAATTTAATCTATTTTTGCTTTAGACTAAAATTAGAGTAAATAGCTTATGCGATTTAAAAATCATTGGCACTATATATTTGATTTATATTTGATTGTATTTTCTTTTTTAGACATGGTGGCATAATACCTACAATTGCTAGTGAAATTCATAGACAACATATTACCACAGTCTGTGAAAATGCATTAAGATCAGCTGATCTAAGATTAAGGGATGTAGATGCTGTTGCAACCACAACAATGCCAGGCCTTCTCAATTCGCTTAACGTTGGAAATACCTTTGGCAAGTATCTTTCTAGGGTTGGTAACAAACCATATATACCAATACATCACATGGAAGCTCATGCATTAACTGTAAGGATGACAGAGAAGGTATATGAAAATTAGTATTTTATATATATATATATATATATATATATATATATATATATATATATAGTGATTTTAAATTAGTCCAAGAAATTTTAGGAAATAGTCATTTACGAAAAATTAAGCAACATCTCTTATATATAAACTCATATATATATTCTTATATTGTTTTCTGAGGAATTACACTCTTCCAAAAGAGTGTAACTCCAAATGTTGGAAAAGTTAAAAAAAAATAAAATTGTAGTGTAAAACGAGTTACTAATCTGATAGCCACCTGTTAGACATTTTTATATCCATTAAAAATATAATCTCATGGATTACCGTGTTGTATATTACCGTGTTATAATAATGCATTTAATTTTTTATTTGAAAACTATATTGATATTAATGATACTATTAATACTATTGATATTGAAATTATTAAAATATTGATTTTATGATTTATACGAAAAAATAAAACAAATGAAAAATTTCTGAAGGAATAAATCTTTTTAACATATGTTTGTAGATGATCACATTTCAGTCTGTTAAAGAGTTCTAATAGAGAATTGAATATAAGATTTACTATTTTTATCCTTTTGTAATGATATGGTAAAATTTAAAAAAATATTAATAAGTAGTCTTTTTATTGGAAAGATTTCATTTGTTAACTTTTTCAACATTTGAGAAAACAAACAAAAATCCAATTTTTACTTTCCTTCTTGAAGGAGTGTGACTCCTGAGAGAGGGATATAATAATTTACGTTTATATGAAAGAGTTTCTTTTGACAAAGAATTATCTTGTAAAGCTTTTTGCACTTATTTAGAATAAGTACACAATAATAATATATAACACGGTAATCCATCAGATTATATTTTTAATGGATATAAAAATGTTTAACAGGTGGCTATCAGATTAGTAACTCTTTTGCACTACAATTTTATTTTTTTAACTTTTCCAACATTTGGAGTTACACTCTTTTAGAAGAGTGTAACTCCTCAGAGAACAATATAGGAATATATATGAGTTTATATATAAGAGATGCTGCTTAATTTTTCGTAAATGACTATTTCCTAAAATTTCTTGCACTAATTTAAAATCACACACTATATATATATTTGTAATATATAAATTATTTGTGTATATTTTGTAGGTAAACTTTCCTTATTTAGTTTTGTTAATATCAGGCGGCCATAGTTTACTGGCCATAGTTGATAGTGTTGATAAATTTTATACACTGGGTACTACATTGGATAATGCACTTGGTGAAGTTCTTGATAAGGTACACTTACAAATCTTATTATTTGGATATAATTTGTATATAAATTACATAAAAAAGATTTCAACTAATTTCAAGTCAATTCTGTCTTCAACATTTTATGAAAAATCTCACGCGAAAGATACTTGTTTAGAACTTATATGCAATTATTGTTATAAATTGTACATATAAAATAATAAAAATTGTATGCAATTGTTATAATTTGTACATATAAAATAATAATTAATTTGTACATATAAATAATAATTATTGTTATAAATTGTACATATAAAATAATAACAGACTTAAACCTATTAATATACCTATTAATATACCTCGTCACATTTGTAAATCTTATTATTTGTGTTCTGGTAATGTAGGTAATTTATTTATATTCAATAAATAAATATATACAATTATATATATATATAAAATATATAATGTACAGTTAATTTTGCCTTTAATATTTTATAAAAAATCTGACATGAAAGATATTTGTATGTAATCATGATTACAGATTGCACGCAGACTGAAGCTCATTAATATACCAGAGTTCTCACATATGAGTGGTGGTCAAGCGATAGAGAATGCAGCGACTAAAGCGACTGATCCAAAAAAATTCGAGTTTTCATCTTACTTGACGAGAAAGAGAGACTGTCAATTTAGTTTTGGGGCTATTTGGAGTACTGCTCTCGAATACATCACCAACCAAGAGAAAGAGTTGCAGATTGATGCGAGTAAGATAATTCCTGATGCATATAATCTCTGCGCCTCGCTACAATGGTGCATTGCGAGGCACATATGTCTTCGAACGCAAAGGGCAATGCAATTTATTGATGAAATGAATTTGATACCACAGGAGAAGCGAACCTTAGTACGTTCACTACTCTCGTTAATTGTCAACTTAGCGATTTTACATACTAATTTCTCCAAATGTAGGTAATATCTGGCGGGGTAGCTTGCAATAATTTTTTCGCAAGAGCTTTGGAAATTGTTTGCTCGGAAAAAGGGTTCCAATTCGTCCGAACTCCACCTCGATTATGCAACGATAACGGCGTAATGATAGCGTGGAACGGCGTAGAACGATGGATAGCAAATGCAGGTGTCATTCGGGATAGAAATGAAATTGAGACGGTGACCATCGAGAAAAAGATGCCGCTCGGGGAAAATTGGATAGAAAAAGTGCGAGATGCGAACATAAAGTGTAAGCTGGTAAAATTAAATGTCTTATCAACATACTAAATTCTCCTCGACCTTAATTTTTCATTTGAACCAAGCTTTTGCGTAATTATCAAGTAAACTCGTTACAGACTAGAGATAAAAAACGAAGGTAAGTAGTGATACAACAATCTTACTTAAACATAAATAAGACTTGTGTTTCAAAAATTTTTTTATTGTGTGTGTGTGTGTACAAATTTATATAACAGTCGGTGCATGTTGTTTATTTTGCCGCTTTATTCTCTTTATTAAGTCCAAATCTTGATTACCGTTATGCTGGGCCATTTGTTTGCGTTGCTCGTACTTATCTAAGGTCATTCTTATCAGTTCTTTGATCGTTTCTATCTCGTGTTTCTTTTTCAAGAGCAAAGATACGGGCAAAATACTCTCGAATTGTATCACGTGTCCAGGTTGTATTTCTTCAGGGCATGTAGATACATAGTTGGTTAAATTCTCTAGCATTGGTTTAACTTCTTTGTAGATATTATCAGCATTTTCAGTGTCCATTTTATTGACTAAAAGCACGGCTGGCATTCTCAGTAGATCCGGTTTGTAGAGTTCGATTTCCTTAATTAATAAGATCACAGTTTCCAGACAGGATCTACTAATGTGCTTGGGCGATAATTGAAAGCCTTGTATATCTACGATAAACAAGAGCAACTTGGTCCTTTCGATATGCTTTAAGAACTTGTGGCCCATCCCGATATTTACGTGTGCACCCTCAATTAGACCTGGTAAGTCAGCAACACTCATATGCCTGTAATCTTTATATTTTATGATCCCTAATCTTGGCCTTATGGTAGTAACTGTAACAGAAAGACAATCATTGTCAAAGATCAACTGTAAAAAGTATATTTCCTTAAAATTATGTCACAATGTTAAGTAAATTGATAGTTTTACAAGGATAACTAGCGATTTTAGGCTTGGCACTTGAAACTGCTGCCAAGAATGTGCTCTTGCCAGCATTGGGAAAACCGACCAGTCCAACATCAGCGATCAGTTTCATGTCTAATGTTATTGTCTGACTTTCTCCTTTCACACCACAAAAACCTGTCTCTTCGCATCCACCTATACCACCTTTTGCTACTAATAGTTTTGTTCCTTCCTCGTTCAACTCTCCTGAAATTTTTACAGAAAAAAGAATACATATGAAATATATAAATAAATCCATACAAATATATGTATAAAATATGCATAAAATAGTTGTGCTTAGCAAGAAAAAAGACTTGGTGAGCAATTAGTGGTGATGAATAGTTTTGATCCATTTGATCAAGTTCTGAGGCTGGATCAAATTCTCACAACATTAATCACTTCTTAAACGCTTTGTTCTGCTAAACAAGCAATAAATATAATGTTTAAAGAGATACTTACCTAACAATGTTCTATTCTCATTGTATACAGAAATGCCACATGGAACATGAATATTTGTGTCTTTACCAGCTATACCTATAATTCCTCTGGTTTTACTGTTACATCCATGCTCTGCTACAACTCGTTTAGTCTTTAATTTCTGAAGCACTTTCTCCAATGTTCCTCCCTGTTTTGCAACCAAGTATATGTTACCTCCTGCACCTCCGATCCCACCAAACCGAGGGAGACCAGAACCTCCTGTTCCTCCTCTAACATTAACACGCAATGTATCAATGAAGTTAGGACGTAAGTATTTTCTGGGAAGCTACAATTGAACAAGAAATTTCTGGCATTTAGGAATTATTTTTTAAAGATTATATACAGATTATATCTTAAGAAAATTTTGTAAATTATTTAGAATTCTATAGAAATCGATTTTATAGAAGTTGATTTAATAGTCTGCTCACTTTTTTAGTAACAATAGCATAACCTAAGAACCGTGTCAGAAATACCATCTTACAGTATTATAGTTGGAAATATGCAGTTATTAATATTTCTTAATAACTTTATATTCGATTTACTGGTCTATATATAATTGTCATTTTATGACAAGTTAAATATTGCGAAACAAACGCAAAAAGGTACGCTGATAACCGCACTGAATTGCTCATCGAAGTTCAATCGATCGATAGTGGCTTGGTTTACATCGTGCACTTGATACGCATACTAATAGCGAATTCGGTAGCTTGCACTAGTGCGCATTGAGTTCGCATTAAGGCTTGTTTACAGTACATTCTTATATTTAAGATCGTGTCTTAAATACATATTTAAAAACATTTTAACTAATAAAATGATTCGTACGGATGTTATACATATCATATTATGGTTAAAAATATTTGAGAATTTATTTGAGAATTATTTAAGACAATCTTTAAATATAATAACATACTATGAACAAGCCTTAGTGCGCACTCAGTGCACACTAGTGCAAGCAACCGAATTCGCTATAAGACTGCGTTCCGAAATTCACTGTTAGTGCTGAAATTCTATAGTATACGTAACATAAATTATAGATTTTTAGTACTGGCAGTGAATTTCGGAACGTAGCCTAAATAGTAACTTTCTATTAGATAATCTTAATATCAATGATATATATAATCAATGATATATTAAGCTGGTATAATGCTCATCAAGAAAACGTATTGATTAAATGCGTCGCCGTTGATATGCATTGTCAATATTAAGATTATCTAATAGAAAGTTACTATTTAGTACGCCTATCAAGTGCATGATGTAAACCAGGCCACTTTATTCGAGACGTATCAAAAGATTCCTGACTTCGCGTATAAATGACACGTAGATCTCCGATTCCATAGGCTGCGTTCCAAACCTCTACTCGACGAAGAAAGTAGTATTTAATTGACCAATAAGAACAAAGATAACTAGAATTTCTTTATCATGATTGGTCAATTAATAGTACTCTACTCACCATGGACCAAGGCCGTGTTCCGTTTATGCTGGCAGTGCTGGCAGTACTGCAAATTTGTTCCGTTTTAAGGGTACAGTGCACTGTAACAGTATCTAGTTCTATCAATGACGTCATGAATGGCAGCCATCTTGGCACTGCAACTACTGCGGCTGAAAAGGTCAAGCAGTTAAGGCCATTACACACAAAATTACATAGACGCATATGCATAGCATAAGATCATATGGACCAATGAGCATTGAATATTAAGCATCAAACACCAATATGGCGACTTAATACTCGATGCTCATTGGTACATACGGTCTTATGCTATGCATATGCGCTATGTAATTTTGTGTGTGATGGCCCTTAGGGCTATCGCATAGCATAAGATCGTATGGACCAATGAGCATTGAATATTAAGCATCAAACACCAATATGGCGACTTAATACTCGATGCTCATTGGTACATACGGTCTTATGCTATGCATATGCAGTTATGTCAATTTGTGTGCGATAGCCCTTACAGTACAAATATGGCGGCGAACAGCTTGATAGAAAAAGTAAATCTTTTAGATGCGGAAACAAATATAACAGCACGCCAAGCATTTGCTCGTCCTACGTTAAATCGGTCGCAAACTGATCTATTATATAAATAGAATAATTGTATACATATAGAGAGAGAATAATCCTGATTCATATATCAATCTATTCAATGTGTTTTTTGTGGTTTATATATATATATATATATATATATATATATATATATATATATATATATATATATATATATAATATATATAT